TATGGTGGGCTCTGCAGGGTCACTCTCCGCTGGGGCTCTGCAAGTGGTATAACTAGCAATCACGGGGGCCCCATACAAAATTTTGCTATGGGGCCCTGTGATTTCTAGTTACGCCCCTGATGGGGAGGTTGGAGAACCTTGTCTGATCTCTGTCAGCTTTCAGGTGGCAGTGCACCTCCTCCACTTCTCTCCGCAGGTCAAACAAGACTGATCCCACCGCTCCCTCTCTACATAGGGAAGATTCGGAATTCAGATCTAATTTAGGAGGCTCACACTCGCCTACCAGAAGCTCTGAGCTCCCTTACGTGGCCAGCACCTGAACATAGCTATGGCATGTGGTCATTTGGGTGCCCCAATGTGGGGACGATGCAATTAGTGGCTCAGACTGAACACACATTTGGAGAGCAGCCATGTGATCCACTGCCATGGCAATCCTCTGGTGGCAGCAGCTGAAACGTGATAGAGTTTGTGGCAGCCTTGCATTTAGATTAGATGGTTGTGCAGTGGGATGGAAAAATTAAAGTGTATCTCTAGCCAAAGCTTGGACATTTTTAGTCAACAATATGAATTTTTAGCCAAATTGGGTTTTTACATTTTCATTTCAATGTATATATCTTCTTACCCGTTACATTAATAAGCTGCCATGCTGATCCGAGGTCCGCATTTGTTCTCATTGCAGAGATTTGCAGCTCCTTCCAGCCCCCAGGCCGACTACAGTCGGGGAGGTCCTGATGGTCCCAGGCTGTTCTCCTTCGGGCGTCCACAGGTGAACCTTGGCTACGAATTAGAATATTAAACTGTGATCGTCCTGGCCTCCGCCGGCGTACAGGGCCCACTGGAACAAAGGAAAGAGGCCGCTGATTTGCTGAATGTGATAGGGAACAAAGACTGTTATAAAGAAAAGATTTGATAAGCGATGAATGTCAATTTATAAAGTTTATATGTATGTAATTTTATTAGGGCCGTGGAAATTAAAAATTAATGTCTCGATTAATCGTTAAACTTTTTGACCGATTCAAATTATTTCGATCGCTAATGAAAACACTCACCTCTCCGCCGGCTTCCGGGAGTCCCGTCGGCGATCCGATGACGTCACCGGACTCCTCCCCCCTTCCCCAAGTAACTCTGTCGGCTAACGAAGGGAAGGGGGGAGGAGTCCGGTGACGTCGGTGTCCGTGACGGCTAACGAAGGGGGAGGAGTCCGGTGACGTCGATGTGCGTGACGTCACCGGACTCCTCCCCCTTCGTTAGACGTCGGAGCCACTTGGGCCGGTGAGTTTGCCCAAGAAACTTTCTGCACGAGCGCCAGCCAAGGCATTGGCCAATACACGTACAGCACAGCAATGACCTATACACATACAGCACAGCAATGAAGTCATACAATGAACTAGGATCACAGTAATCCAGCACGTTATTAATCTGAGTTGCCCCACTCAAGTGGCGGCCATATTGAGTGGGGCACGTGAGATTAATAACGTGCTGGATTAGTGTGATCCTAGTTAATTTTATTACTTCTTTGCTGTGCTGTATGTGTATAGGCCAATGTAGTTGGATCTGTATGTGCGTTATAATTAATCGAACACGAAAATTTTAATCATTACCAGTCAGATAATGTGGAGACTCGATTCTGAAAATTAAAATGATGGTTAAAATCCGGTCCAGACTTGCCAATGTCCAGAACTCAAAATACTTCAAAAGCAAATGACAAACTATCAATGTATATTTATCACAGGGGGTGCGAGGGGGAGGGGACATTCACTAAGGCTTCATGTAAAAATTCCCCCCAATCACAGATCTGCCAGCCAACATTGAGGCCTCGAGCACATCTCCACTTTTATAGATGACCACATTAAAGTTTTGTGTTTTATTATGCTTGTGCTCCCCCATACAGTCACAGGGGTCACAGGGTGACATAGCATGCCTAGGGTGCTCTGGAGTCAAGAGGGGACACAGGATGCTCAGAGTGCTCTGGAGTCACAGGGTGACATAACATGCCTAGGGTGCTCTGGAGTCAGGAGGGGACACAGGATGCCCAGGGTGCTCTGGAGACACAGGGGTCACAGGGTGCTCTGGAGTCAAGAGGGGACACAGGGGTCACAGGGTGCTCTGGAGACACAGGGGTCACATTGCATGCTCAGGGTGCTCTGGAGTCAAGAGGGGACACAGGAGTCACAGGGTTCACAGGGTGACATTGCATGCTCAGGGTGCTCTGGAGTCAAGAGTGGACACAGGATGCTCAGGTTGCACTGGAGACACAGGGGTCACAGGGTGCTCTGGAGACAAGAGGGGACACAGGATGCCCAGGGTGCTCTGGAGACACAGGGGTCACAGGATGACATACTGTAGCATGCTCAGGGTGCTCTGGAGTCAAGAGGGGACACAGGATGCCCAGGGTGCTCCGGAGACACAGGGTTCACAGGGTGACATACTGTAGCATGCTCAGGGTGCTCTGTAGTCAAGAGTGGACAACGGATGCTCAGGGTGCTCTGGAGACACAGGGGTCACAGGGTGCTCTGGAGACAAGAGTGGACACAGGATGCTCAGGGTGCTCTGGTGACTCAGGGGTCACAGGGTGGCACTAAATGCGCAGGGTGCTCTGGAGTCACAGGGTGAAAAACGATACTCAGGGTGCTCTGGATTCACTGGGTCAAGAGGGAACACAGGATGCTCTGGAGACACAGGGGGTCACAGGATGTTCTGGGGTCACAGGGTGACACTGAATGTGCAGGGTGCTCTGGAGTCACAGGGTGACACAGGATGCTCTGGGATCACAGGGGTTACAGGGTGACACTGAATGTGCAGGGTGCTCTGGAGTCACAGGGTGACACAGGATGCTCTGGGATCACAGGGGTTACAGGGTGACACTGAATGTGCAGGGTGCTCTGGAGTCACAGGGTGACACAGGATGCTCAGGGTGCTCTGGGGTCACAGGGGTCACATGGGTGACACTGAATGCGCGGGTGCTCTGGGGTCACAGTTTTCACAGCAATGCCACAGCAGGGCACTCAGCTTAGGTGCAGCAGCAGGTTGCTCGAATGCTGAGCCACGCGTCACTTAGCCATTTAAAGCCGGCGCCAATCAGGAAAGCTGCTTCTTGACTGGCTGCGGTGCCGGAGTTCTGGTAGTAACCCAGAAATGTTAGTGACTGCACACTGGAAAGGAGACCCGGCACTGAAGCGGAGGACAGATGAAGCTGACAAGTAGATTGGAAAGTCTCCATCAGGATCTGTTGGCATCCCCATTGGGGAGCTTTCCTTCAGTAACATTGTAGCTGGAAGGCTCTCAGCCTCCTCTGCTGGTCAGAAGACTCTCAACCTCTCTCAAAACCTTCTCTACTGCCTGGAAGACTCTGTCTCGCATCGAGCCTCCTATACTTGCTGGAAGATTTTCAGCCTCTCTCTGAACCTCATCTGCTAGCTGGAAGACTCTTGGGCTCTCTCTAAGCCTCTTATACCGGATGAAAGACTTTCAGGTTCTCTCTCTCTGAGACTCCTATGTAAGACTCTCAGCCTCTCCATGAGCCTCCTATACTTGCTGGGAGATTCTAAGCCTCTATCCAAACCTCCTCTGCTGGCCAGCAGATTCCCAGCCTCTCTACAAACTTTCTCTACTGGTTGGAAGACTCTCAGCCTCTCTCCAAGCCTCCTCTACTTTCTGGAAGATTCTAAGCCTCTGTCCAAACCTACTGTCTCTCAGCCTCTCTATGAGCCTCTTTTACTGTTGGTAAGACTCTCAGCCTCTCTCCAAGCATGATAAAAACTTTCTCCGGGTCTCCTCTGCTGACCAGAAGCCTCTCAGCCACTCTTCAAGCCTCCTCTACTGGATGGAAGACTCTCAGCCTCTCTCCGGGCCTCCTCTACTGACCAGAAGACTCTCAGCCTCTCTACGAACCTCCTCTACTGACCAGAAGACTCTCAGCCTCTCTCCGGGCCTCCTCTACTAACCAGAAGACTCTCAGCCTCTCTCCAAGCATGATAAAAACCGCCGGCAACATTTTCCTCTAAGTAGTCTAGGCATGTTTACCTATATACGGACATGGAGAGGACCTACCGGCTCATTACATATGAAGGCTCCGCCTCCTGACTCAGGCTTGCTGACCATCTTATCTTAAGTGTTTTGGAAAGGGCCTGTCTGTGATTGGACAGTTAAGGAGAAGCAGCAGACTCATCGCTCGTCACTCTCCTCTCTCTGGTCATGAGCAAAAAACAACTGAAAATAAACACATTGCTAACCAATCTGTGACTTCCTCCTGCTGGGATCCCTCTAGTGATAGATCTATATAGAGGGATCAGGACCTCCTTCCTCCTGCTGGGGATCCCTCTAGTGATAATAAAGATCTATATAGAGGGATCAGGACCTCCTTCCTCCTGCTGGGGACCCCTGTCGGCTTCACTCACACTGACATGTTTTGTGTGTGTTTGGGCTGGCAATGCAGCAGAACATACAGATAAACAGACACGCGTCATGTTTGGCGTCGCAGTGCGCGATGGTTGCGTTTTCACGCGGCATTGAAGTGCCACTACAAATGTCTTGCACATTGACACGCCAACCTGTACAAGATCCATTGCTGCAATGCATAATGCAAACAAGGTGGCCCCAGGGCAGGAGGTAGGGGGAAATTTGACCAAAGGGGTCACAGATGTTGGTAAATACCAAAGTATTTTACCTTCCAGCAATGGTGAGAGTTGTTTTACATGGCGCTGTATAGAGATAGAGATGAGGATGGTTACAATGATACAATATAAGCTGTGGTATTTGCTTCATTTAGGGTGGTCACCAACTCGCCATCCTGACCACAGGGCATCCCTTATCTCCAGATAAAGCCTATCAGGCCCACCTAGGGCCCCTTTCCGGGCCTGAGGGCCACATAGGGCTCCTAAGCACAAGAACAGCCAGTGTGTCCGAGCTATAGAGACGCCGTAACGTAGTGAACAGAGACGAAGAATAGAGGTGACAGCGGGGGGACTACAATCCCCAGCATGCCCGGTTTAACTGGTGCGGCCTGTGCTCCGTCTCCATGGTGACCGGCCTCACCGTATAGCAGGCCGCGGGCCCGGGGAGGGAGAGAGAAGGGGGGTCGCACTGCCCGGCGATGACGTACCGGGAGGGGGAGGAGCTGCGGCGAGACTCCGGGACAGGCCGCACACCGGAGAGAGACCGGACACCGGAGAAGATGGCGGAAATCGGGCGTGACGTGTGAGGAGAACCGGGAAGGGGGAGGGGAGAGGTATAAAATCTTCACTGGGCGCACCCCATCATCACCGAGATTGCGCCATACACCACTTCATCATCACCGAGATTCCTCCGTACACCCCTCCATCATCACCGAGATTCCCCCATACACCCCTCCATCATCAGCGGGGAAGACGCTATATACTCCTTCCCAATATCTGCACCGACATCCCCGACCTCCGCATGACCGAAACGAGCCCACATTACCGACCGCCATATAAT